ATTTTTTGGCTGCAATTTGGGTAACTCGGGAACTGAGAAAGCTGGGAACCTGGGATTTCAAGGGAACGTTCCCTGTCCAACTATAGCGTGGATAGCTAAGTTCCCGAAATTCGAGGAGCAGTATGTACAAGAGGTTTCTAGCTAGCGCAACTTCGAGTAATCTTATTACAGCACGAAAGACTGCAAAAACGCATGATCGCACGCCTCCCCCAGTGCGCGTTGCCAATGATTTTGAAATTTCCCGCCTGGAGACCTTCGAAGAACTCTGAGCGTCTCTTACGAGATTGTCGAAGACAGTTATGAAGTCGGAGTTCTTCGGAACTTCCAGATTGGCTCAGTAGTTGATTCCTGCCTCTGAAAACTTGTAACTCGCATATTCACTTGTATAAAGCGCATTTGGCTTGTTGCTCGCAGTAGAACACGCATAACGAGGTTGCGTGTTATAAAACCTAATCATGAGGTATTGCAGGTCAGTCGAAAATGGACGATGCTTGGCGACATGTATTCCGTTATTTCAGAGCTGCTGAACGGATCCGCTACGAGCGAGTATCGAAACTCTGGATGAGGTTGTTGCGTGAGTACTGGAAGCAGCTGGTTTCGATAGATACAAACGATCTCTGTGTCGGGGTTCCAGCGGAGTACTGGTCCAACTGCGTAGCAGCTGTCCTGGGTAAGAAGCATTGCTGTAATTCAACGAGTGATGTTCTCATCTGGCGGTTTTGAACAAGAATTTTTTGAAAGAAATTACTGGAGTTTTTCTAACAAGTAGCAGCGCGCACCAGGGTAGCGAACTTCTATTGTTTTCGCTGTTTAACACTTAGATGCGTGCAAAAATAGTTGATGTGTTGTTTGTTTCATAAGCTGTGAAATATCCTACTGAAAATTTCACCTGCCGACGCTTGAAATGTAACCGTGCGTAAAAGCTGAATTTGAAACCTTTTTATGCGTTTTTTGCAGCAATGCAATGCGAAAAACGCATATTGACGAGAGGTTGTCCGTGT